TTTGTCCTCGCCATGGGACACAAGCCCATTCTTTTTGTCGAATTCTTTAGAACAAAGGTAGCATCGGTACACTTGGGAGTCTGTATGCCTTAATTCCACATGTTTCCTCAAGTCATCTTGATTCACAGCTTGATAGTCGCACAGCATGCAATCTCCCATCTGCAAGCAAGGAAAGAAAAACATTAGATTTCAATTATTCCTTATTTTAATGGTATGATCAAGAACAGGGCAATGACAAAAAATAAGGCATCAACCATGCCTTATTTTAATGGTAATTTCACAAAAATATAGAACTAAATAATGCTATATGACATTTAATGGTAATTTCACAAAAGTATAGAAAAAGAGTATCACTTAACTATGAAGAAACTCAAATTTGCAATCTACGAGTTATTGTAAAAATGTAGTGTGTTGAGCAACTTACAATTTGATGTCAATTGTTAATGTGTGTTTCTCTTGTCAATTGTTATTGTGTGTTTCTCTCTTATATAAACTTCAGTTAACACCTAACTACTTTGTTCCATCCTGTACATGTTTTACTTTGTTTCATCCTATAAATGTGATAATTCCAACATTCCATTAGTGTGCTAATTTCAAGATCATGTAATGTGAGAGAGAGGCCTCCATCTCATTTCACCACTAAGGTGGGCACTACCTTTGGACAATTTTTTATGTTGCTTTCCAGGAGGCATTCTGTTACGATCGAGTAGAGGTGGGCGTGGTCCGGATTGAGTCGACTTTACTCAGTCTAAAATCATGGACGAACTAATAATAGAACGGTTTGGTTGGACTTGAACGGGCAGTTTTCATATTATTTTCCATCATCACCGTTTCATGCATAGTTTATTAATACTCCGTTTCTCCCGGCTGCAGAGCACTTGCTGCCCATATTCAAAGTGAAATTGGTTTACATTAGTCAAATACCAGTCGGTAAAAACTGAAAACATATTATTTCCAGGATTTCATTTTAATTTTTGCATAAATTAGAAAGTGATAAAGAAAATATATCATGACTAACCAAATCCCTCAAATTCAGATATGTCAGGTTACTCCAGTCTCCATGGACTTAAATATTTGACTGGCTCTGACTCTCATAATAAGCCCAGACACCTTCTTTAATGCCTTCAACGGGGCCTGCTAATGCAAGTTCTGGGATCCCAGCTAGCGCATACAATCCACTTTTAGGAACATTCCATACCCTTGAATTGTCACCAACACCCTCTGCATCACCTCTTCACAGTCATAGTCGTTTCCACAACATAGATGAAACAGATGACCATTCTGGGGGCTCGGTTGCCCCTGGAGCTGAGTATGGTTCTGTTTCCAATAATGGTAGCTGGTCAGGTGAGTCGGAAGACCATAAAGACAAGGCATCTTATCCTCCTACCAAGCAGGAAGCAGTACCGGCAGCTGATAATGACAAGCGAGAGAAAATCCGTCAGAAGAATGAGAGGAAGCATCAGCGACAGAAAGAGCGGCGAGCTCAGGAGTTGCATGAACAATGTAGTGGTTATCTCATGTCAAGAAAGCTAGAAGCACTTGCCCAACAGCTTGTGGCAATGGGGTTTTCACAAGAGCGGGCAACCATGGCTCTCATCCTGAAGGAAGAAAGAATAGAGGAAATCAGTAGCATGGCTTTTTGAAGGTGGTGAAGATGCAGATAAGCCAAGGGATCAAAACTTTGGTGGGGGTAATTTGAAAATTGACAATCTTGGTTAGATGAGAACCAAGGTTACAGTGTCTAACACGATAACCGTTAAAGGCGCAAACTTTCTTGACAAGAATCAAAGATTATAAAAAAAGTCAGCCTTTTCTGGTGCATTTTCAGTTTTCAGCTATTCATGCAATCAATGATCACAATGGCAATGCAGGTGCTTTCACTCTGTGAACCACTAATATGATTTTCTTAGGGTACATCATGGCTGCGGGCAAAACATATTGCATTGTCAGCAAGGGCACATGAGGCCTAGTAAACAGGGTCCAATCACACTCCATGCGTAGCATGTTGATCAAGACTAATCAAGAATTAGCACTTGGATTTTGGAGGCGAGCTTAGAGCTAATTACTTATGCTTAAGGCTTGTAATTAATGTCGTGCAGTGAGTTTGATGCCTGCTCATTGCCCTATTTATAAGATAATCATCTCCACCTTGGACCCTATTGGCTTGTAGAAACACTTTTTTATTTTGAAGTGTTATAGATAGAATTTTAATGAGATGTTATGTGTAGAAACGAAGTCAATGGGTAAAAACACAATAAGCCTTTTGCAAGGGCTGGCACTATTCATGTGAATAGTAACAGCCCTTGCCTTACCATTGCCCTTTGCCATGGCAAATGGGTGTGGAAGTGCGCAAACAAGAACTTCGAAAACTCGTTGATGTAAAGTAAGGATGCAAAATAAATATCACGTAACTTAAGTGGCTTTTTGCCCCACATTCCTAGCAATTTGAGTTCAAATCAGATGTACCATCAGTTTCAGTATCAACAACAGTAGCAGCTTGTTCCTGGAAGCAGCCCAGCTGATCCCACTGGAACAAGCCGAGGGAATAACATATGGAGTAGAGCAGGTGCTTCTCCAACACTTGCTGCTGCTTCCTCCCTTGGACTCTTCTCAGGGTTGGGCTCAGCTGGCTCATCAGGGGCATCTGCTCCGGCAGACTGGAATGCTGGTGGCGGCTCATGTGGACATATAGATTACACAAACATTGACTGGAGTTTGGATAGAGGTCTGTCTTCGCCAAGGCCCAACGGGTTGTGGACAGGACTGCCTTCTATCATGAAGAGCAATATCAACTTCTATGATCCAAAACCTGCTGGGTTGGGTGGTCAGCCTGGAATCAGAACGGCATCCTCAAACATGAATGTTGTTTCCTTTGTGGGACTGCAGGATGGAGCTGCTAATGGTGAAGCATCAGCTGCGGGTTCCCGAGATTGGACTTCTCCATTCGAAGGAGAGGATCTTTTTAGCGCACCCAGACAGTATGTTTCTTCTTCTTCCCGTTAGGTGAGAGGAAAGTATTTCAATGAATAAAATAAAAAAAAAGACAAAAAAAAAAATTGTGCGTGGATTTGATGTTAGTGTTGATGCTACAGTGTTAATTCTTGGTGGATAACCTTTTAGTAGAAAAGCATCCCAGAGTCCTTTGCTTGATCCTTCATGTTTTATAGCTTTATGCATATTTGAGAGAGAGAGAGGGGAAGATAGAGACCATTAATCTCAGTTTTGACAAGCAGGCCCAGTAAATTTCCAATTTATTAACCATGGATAGAGTCAAATGTAGGCCCAATAAAATCGATTGCTGAATAAAAAAGCCCGAAAGAGATGTGGTTAGTACTTGGGTAAGGCCTAAGATTGTGCCAATAAGTCTCAATCAGGAGCCAAATTTTTTGGGCAATGTTTTCTTATTGCTATTGGGACGTTCCATTCTTCTGGCGATCTGAGCCCAATTTTAAGCAAGGGTATCACTTGAATCCTGATAAAATTTCCATGTCAAGGAAAGCTCTGCAATCATCAAACTTCTCTCTCACCAGAAATTGGGGGCATTGCTAAATTATGTCTAGAAAACCAAAAGAAACAGCACATAAAATAAATTATAAAAAAGGGTAAAACTTTGATAAGTTTAGGTTTGGAAGTTGCAATAACCTAGACAATTGGTGCGAAGTGCGCAAGCAAAAACTTCGAAAACTCTAGTTGTTGTGAAGTAAGGTTGTAAAATAATATCACATAACTTAATGAAAATAAATGAAGAAGAGAGGGTAAAAGTGTCAATTGATATGAAATAAGAATAATTTGTTGTGTACTTACTAATCTTGTGTACATTTTTGTTTTGGCAAAATAATCTTGTGTACTTATTATTAGCAAAATAATTTTTTGCGTTTGAGAAAATTTATTAATTAATAGTAGGAGAAGCAGGAAAGTGTTTGGTTTGAGGGGTTTTTAGTAATTATATTGGTTTTATTCCAATTCCTTAAGGTTAATAAACATTGTAAGGAAAATCAATTTTATTCTTATTTCGGTTCGAGACATTTAATAAACACGCTGTTGGATTACCAGACTCCGATTCCTTCACAGAATACTATTCGTTCTTGCTCCAATTCCTTCACAACCTGATTTCATTATTGCCTCGATTCCTTCATACTCCAGTTCTTTTTTATTCCCATTCTAAGTACATAAACAAGTCCATTCCTTCAGACCAAAAAAAAAAAAAGTCCTGCCATCACTCATAAACCCTCGTAACATTTTACTATATTGAGAAGGATATGACTATTTGAACTCCTATTTCTTAAGGATAAATAAATAAATTCAACGTACCCCCTTTTATAAAGGGAAAAAAAAAGGATGTAAAGTAAAATAAGTGGCAACAATTTTTATTTTTTATTTTTTAAGAAAGGGTAAAATTGTGAATTAGGCTTAGTAGTTGCGTGGAATGAAGCAAATTGGCGCGAGAAGTTTGAAACACAATCGTTGCAAAGAAGAGAGGGCAAAAGTGTAAATATAGACGAAACGCGGATTACTTTAGGCTGGGCAGTGAGGAGTAGAGAGCACCTAGAGACTTGAAAGCTACGAAACTGGTTTGTGAGTGAAATGAAGAAGAGAATGAATTGAGAAGAAATATAGCCGTTGGTTGTAAACCTTAAATCCCCAAATCCATATAACCCTAATCTCTCTCTCTTTCTTTCTCTCTCACTCTCATTCCCATTCTGATTCTCAATCACACGCTTCGCTCTTGGCCAAAACCCACTTGGCAGAAACTGAAAACCACGCAATTTACTTGTTCAATTTTTCTTTTTTCGTTTATAGTTTGTGTTGATTTAATTGGTTTGGTGACAATGAGGCTTGAAGAGTTGAAGCTTAATCTGAATTCTTTGAACAATCGCAACCACAAGGTCTATGCAAAACCCAATTCCGCCCGTTCTTTCAAGCGTCCACGTTCCTCCGCTCCCGATTCCGATTCCGTTCTTTCAAACGCAACCACAACATCCGATGAGATTAATCTGTCGCCACGAAGGGCCGCTCGGGTTGCAATGCTGAAGGCACGGTTTGCAGGTACCATCTTCAAAGCCAAACAAGAGGTTCTTTACAGTGGCTCTAATGGTCTTGAAAACACCGAAGATGAGATCAAGAAGTTTAGGGCTGCCGAGATGATGAAAGCCAATGAGTACATCAAGGAGCAACGGCAACGAGATAGAGAAGCTGCTCGGCTTGCCCTCGAAGAGATGGAGAGAAATGTTGTCATTGATGATAACTTCAAAACGATGAGAGACTTTGAGATGTTAATTTCTGGCGCCAATTGCTAAGAGTATTGGAGACTATTAAGCTAAGAGTATATGGATAGATAGATAGCTTCAAGTAATTAGGATTTTTACACATAGGAAGAGGCTGCGGAATGTACAAAGTGCTAATGAGTAAGTCTACTGTCTTGTAGACATTTCCACTGTCTGTCTATATATTTTCAAATTATAGCAATGAAAGAATATTTTGTCTCTTAACTTCCTGTTGGTTCCTTTTTCTTCTCAAGTATTCTTTTCGCCGAATGTCGTGATAGGCGTGCTCGGAAGAATACAGGAGCTGCAAGACCGACACCAATGCCCCGATTTTATCTTTTTGGCTCACGCAGATGTTACTTCAGTTTTCAACAAAGTAGAAAGTTGAATCAGGTTGACAAAATCCAGTCTGGCTATCAGTTAGTCATACCATGAAGATGGCAGAGAAATAAAAAGATGGACAAAGAAGTCGTCTGGCTATCTGAGATCCAGGCGAGTTTGACTGGAAATATCTTTGAGTGCTTTAGTGTTTTACAAGACGTTGCGTCTGGTTTTTGGAGAGAGAGTCGCCTTCTTCTGTGCTAGAAGCTCTCTATTTATAGGAGCAGGGGAGGTCTTAAGTGATGATGACTGAGCGAGGATGTTTGGCTGTTGTCCAAAGTCAGCTTGCTGACTTGACGTCATGAACCGGTCCATAGTGGGGGTGATTGGACTTTCTGACGAGAACCACCGGTCCTTCGAAACAGCTCTCTGGTCTGAAGCATTTTGTACTTGGCGATTTGATATGCAAGTTGGCGTGGCTTCCTTAGGCGGCTGGCTTTCTTATTGGAAGAGGGAAAAGTCAAATCGTCATTAAATGTTGATGGTCCTTCTCCAACTTCGCGTGGGTTTGGAATAGTTTCTGATTTTTCACCTTCCAGCAATCCAATCGTTCTGGGCCCTCTGTTCTTGGGCTTCGGTTTTGGTCCTGTTTTGGTGTTTATTTTAAACAAGAAAGTCCTCCTGAAAAATACAACTTATAGACAACTATTGGGCTTGGGCCCTTGCCACGCTCTTTTTAGGGAGGGAACCACTTTTGGTCCATTGACCAAAATTGGGTACAAACATTGCCCCCCTGTTTTAATGGGCTTGGGTAAATTCTATTAAAACTGACCCCCAACTTCCTACGATGTCAAATCGTACGAAAAGGGAATTTTTGAAAGTAACGCGCCAAGTTCGTGATAGCAACTGTCCTATCACGTCTAACAATTAATTCGGCCTGTCAAAAACTTCTCAGCTTCTTCTTTTTGAAACTGTTTGCCCAATACGCATATCTCTTTCCAACTTGCTTTCGTGCCTGTCGTCCTTTCCTTTTCCCTCAAAAAACCCAAACCAGAAAAAACCATCTTTGCCATGGCTCCTAAGAAATCGAAGACCGCAAAGGTTTCCACTGGGGTTCCTGAGTGGCTTTCCGAGCAGGCTGCGATAGAACACGCCAATGAGTTCCATTCTACCTTGGCTCAGGAGCAGACGAATGTTCTATCGCCGGTCTATTCTCCCTTCCCGATAACCCTGAGAGGCCCTTTTCAGACACCATTTCTGGGTCCTTACTATCATCAAGCCAATAACCCTGATGTGCCTGTATCTGAGGTCTACTTCTCCTGGTCAGACTGGGTGGATGAGATGCAGCCTTTATTCACGGATGTTTGGAAGCGGAATGGGATATATTACACCATTCTGCTATCGAAAAATCGGATTGATCTGAACCCTTCGTTGTTGGGGGCCGCCCTTTGCTTTTGGGACAGCACTTCGAACACCTTCGCTTTCGGGCCCGGTGTCATGACTCCCACTATCCTAGACATGGCAGCCCTTTTCGGATTCAAACCCTAGGGTGGGAACATTGATGTCCTAAGTGATTATGAGGTGGAAAATCGGAGGGTTAAAGTTCCGATGAAGGCGAGCAAAACCGAGATTCTTCGCCTGAAAACCTACTCTGGTTTTATGATGTCTTTCCAAGGCATGGCTGATCGTGAACAGGAACATATGATGTTCCTGCTGTTCTGGCTTAACCGATTTATCATCCCCAACGTGGATGGCAGTGTTAGCCCAGGGTATATGCACCTGGCTGACGCCCTTCACAACGAATCGGGTCTGGCCACCGGTCCTTTCATGTTGGCCTCGCTTTACCACTGCCTTTATCAGATTACGATCAATCCTCTTAACCTGGCCGTGTGTGGTCCTGTCTGGATGGCCCAAATCTGGCTGGAGTGGTATTTTCCTGAGCTCGGGACTGAAGATTTGGTGTATCTTGAAGATGATGTCCCTGCTACTGCCCTGGCCATTGCTTCGAAGAGATCGGTCAGAACTGAAGAATGCTTCGTCTTCTTTCGGGAATGCCATGGTATTTTCTTCCTTTCATTTTATTTTATTTTTTACAGTTATTTCCGTTCAACCATTAATTGGCTCCATAACTGTGTCTTTAGACAAATTGAATTCCAGGAAGGTGGTCATTTAATCCCAATGAGTGCAGACTTTGTACCAATATTCGTTTTTAAGGAATAAAAGTAACTAAGTCTGAGAAGCCCTTCCAAAGCTGTTTTTTGGGCCTATTCTCATAAAGTGGGCTTTTTGTCCGTTACGTGTCGTGTCCTCAAGCACGGTTTTATTGAGTGTCGCGCCTTGAAACAAATCATGTCCTTTTCTTTTTGGGCACGTGTCATGATGATGGGGACTTGTCAGGCGGTTGAATTGAAAGGTCGCGTCGAGTTTTAAATATCTGACATGAGCCTTCCCCTTTCTCTCGCCTTTCCATTTCCTGTCTTTTCGAGGTCGTGTCAAAAGGGTCCGTATTTTTCTAGAGCGAGAAATCCCAACTTCCTTGTCTCTTTCAAACTTTTGAATTACTGTGTGTTCTTACTATTTTCTGAAAAATGGCGCCTAAGAAATCTTCGACCTCTGCTCCTGACACTTCTTCTTCCGGGACCGCTTCTACTGGACCGGCGTTCCTTTCCGGGGCGGGGGTGAA